GACACAGACAAGCAATCACAGCATTCTGGCTTCAAGACAAGACAAAACAGAAGTTGGATGAAACGGAAAATGTCCTATCTTATTGGCAAGGAAAAAATCCCAGCATGCATCTGTATGTTTGTCTATAAATTTAAGGAGGGGGATATTTTGGCAATCATTCCTATGATGATTGGAACCAAAATTTGAATTTTGTTCTTTTATTTCATTTATTATTCAACTCACTGATTTGGCTGATTCATTCTACAGCCTTCTTTAGGTTTGGAAAGGTAAAACCTATGATTGTGAGAAGAGTCATTATTATTTTAAAAGTTGTTCAGACAATGAACTTGATTATTTGTGCCACTTTTATTGTTCAACTCAGTGATTTGACTGATTCATTCTATAGCCTTCTTCTGATATACAAAGATAAAATCTATGATTCTGAAAAGAGTCAGGCTTACAGCCATATCACATTCAAACACCACGATTACCAAAGTTAAGCAATGTCATGTCTGGTCAGTACCTAGATAGGTGACTGCATGGGAATACTAGATACTGTAAGGTTGGTTGTGTGGGTGGCATAATGAATAACAGTTCGAAATTGGAAATTAGAGAGCTGAGTTCCAATTCCAGTCAGGTTCATTATATTAACTTACATATAAATACCCTAGGGAAATGTATGAATGCACCTCTTCTCTCCCATCTATGGGTTAATTAGTAGGACGTGTATCAGTAAATCATTATTATCTCTCAAACAATTCTTAGAATCTAAAAATATTTTCTGGCTTTAAATAACCTGTAAAGGGTTGATAAGCTGTGAAAAATGGATCAATTCAGCACCATTGACTCCACAATATTCAACATGCTGTTGCAGTTCCCATAGGTAGCTACAGAATATAGTTGTTAGTTCCTTGCCCAACTGGTTTTGAATTCAGAGTTGTTCTCCTCCTAAACTGGTTGCCAGCCAAGGCTAATGAGTCCAGTCTTCCTTACTATTTAACAGGAATTTACTCTCAAATCTCATTCCAAGCTGTTATCCATTATACCAAGTGCACATCCCCGTTTTAAGAAAAGCGAGGTAGTTATGAAGATTATCTTTCACTAGAAAGACTAGAATTATACTAAAATTCATTTTTAAAGGCTTTCTGACATTTATTCTTTATTCTTTATGTGTCGTGTCCCCTCAGGATATAGGCGATCATGGCTCTTCACAACTTCCTGTCTCTTGTAGCTCTTAATAAATTTTGTCTCTCTATTATTTCTCCTAAACCCAGTTTTGCCATCCATTTACTCAACCTCACTAAGTATGTTATATGTTGTTTTCCTCTCTTCCTCTTGCCTTCAATCTGTACTGTGAGTATCAGATTCTCCTAGCCGACTTTCCCCATTATGTGCCCTAGAAATCTCAATTGTCTTTTCCTGATGTTAAGTATTAGTTTTCTTTTGCTTTCCATTTTAACATTTGTCATTTCTCGGATTGTTTTATTCTAATTTGAAAAGATCTCGTCCCGACCAAGAAAACGAAAGTAGACTTTTGAGAATTTTATTCAATATGATTGCCTAGTATTCCAACTGTCTCTATGCACCATGTCCTTTCAGGGAATATACGCTCATGCCTCTCAATAATTTCCTTTCCTCTGTAGCTCTTAATAAATTTTGTCTTTTTATTATTTCTCCTAAATCTTGTTCCGCTATCCATTTAATCAAGGTCCCTAGATAGGTTATGCATTGTTTTCCTCTGTCATTCATACCTTCAATCTGTCCTATGAGTATCAGATTCTCCAAGCACACTTTCCTCATTATGTGCATTGTGAAATTTCAACTAAGTCTTTCTGATGTTAAGTATAAGTTTCCTTTTATTTCCATTTTCTCTAAAACTTTGTTATTGCTCACATGTTCAGTCCATGATATCCTCAGCATCCTTCTGTACAACCACATTTCTTCAAGTCTCTTCTTCATCTTTGAGAAGATTGTACAGCACTTACTGCCATACAGGAGAATGGATATCATATCACAGTTTAGTACTCTTTTCTTTATTTCTTGCAAAATTTTTCTATACTGAAAAAATGACTTGGAGCCTTAAACCTAGTTTGACTTCCAATGAGTGATGCTGCTGCTGCTGCTGTTGCTTGCCATAAAAAGCAGTTTGCAAAAGACCAATGCTATATACCATTCCCTTGTCGTTTAGAAGGCCATATATCTGTTTCTAATAAGACAATAGCATAAACATATATTGGTTTTGCCACATATATATATTTATGTGTAGATATATTTCTGTTTGTGTTTGAGTATGTGTGTGCGCACGTGTGTGTGTGTTTGTTGTATATAAAAGTTACACATTTTTATTCAAAAGGCGACAAATTTAATCTGACTCTGAAAGAAATAGACAAATGCAAAATAATTCCATTTCTGTTTTCTGTCCTCACCTTTAACCTAAAGAAACAGTCAAGTTGGCAACAACAGAATTCCTTATTTCTTTCTTTGGCTCTTGTGATTCTACTTTCCATAATTCTTCTTCCATTTTGAATTGTCATTTAGTAATTTTGTTCACCATTGTACTCATAACTTATACACACACACACACACACACACATATATATATATATATATATATGTATGTATATATATATATAAAATTTTTTTTTTCCATTTCCTCCAGACTAAAATTTCCCGCCCTAGATTTTGAAATTTCTCCCTTGGGAGCCAAGTGCCTCCTGTTTGAGAACATACTGATTTATGTAATAATGATATTCACACGTTAAGATAAGTCATTTTGGCAGTATAACACTTTTAAAATACTAGCCAAAAGATTTAGCATTAAAACTTCGAAAGACAAACAAAATATCTATCTATCTATCTATCTATCTATCTATCTATCTATCTATCTATCTATGTCTTTCCACATCTATCTATCTATGTCTTTTTTTACACCTATCTATCTATCTATCTATCTATCTATCTATCTATCTATCTATCTATCTATATCTCTTCATTTCTATCTGTTTATTCATATCTGTCATTTAGTAGATATCTAGCATATACAAACAAATAACTAAATGTCGGTATATTCATTTATTTTTAGGACTTATCAACCCTTTAAAGCTGAAATTAACCATTACTCAATGCCAAGTCAGCTCTTACCCAGTAAGGATTAAATGCAATACTCAGTCGTAATGATCAACTAGACTAGTTCAAACTCACTACTCAGTGGTATGATAAACTTAGATGTTGAATTTTCTACTAGTTATTACATCCAACCATCAAGATCTGGCATATCAATTGAGAAAACATCTGCTTGCATATATTTTGTAAGCAATGCTACAAAAATGATATTAATGAAATAACATGGACAAAAAACATTATTTAAATATTTACAGCAATTCTAATCAACAAACTCATCTTTTGATGAAAAATGTTCAAATGCTTTGATTATCTTTTCAAATTGAATCTTCTTCGTCAAATGAATCTAAATTTTCTTGAATTTCAAAGTCATGACATGAAAGTTGGTTCTCTCAGGGTCTCACCTTAAATATTTGAAGTCCATTATCAGGGAAGCCTTCAAATCTACAAATTTACCATTGCCTTTGAGAAGAAATACTTTAACAGTTTGATATGAAAGGGTGGGACTGAGTTCCAGCCTGGTAACTTGAAATTCATGCCGTCTGAGGTCTGAGAACAAAATCAAGAGATAATTTTATAATTCATGCAATGTGATAGAAGTCCTGATCATGGCAAAATCTAGACTAGGATGTTTCTTTTACAATTTTTTATGGATACACTCAATTTCTCTGAATGTGTTATTGCTTTCCCTTGAGGCTGTCTTTTTTGAAACATGAAAATACAAATCATTTTCATGGCAACTTGGTGGTTTTGTGTAAGATTTGGTGGTCCTGGTACCCAACCATTGGCCCTAAATTTTGAAATTTCTCCCTTGGGACCCAAGTGCCTCCTGTTTGAGAACTACTGATTTATGGCATCTCCATTTTGGCCTTTTTAAAAATACTGTCAAAAGACAGTTAAATGTAACCAAAATATCTATCTATCTTCTATCCCCTAATCTATCTATGTCTTCATTTTCTTTTCTTTTTATATCTTCATTTATTTTTTAGGACTTATCAACCATTTAAAGCCAAATTAACCATTACTCAATGCCAAGTCCTGCTTGCTTCCCCTGGATTAAATGCAATAATCTTGATCAACTAAATTCCATTAACCATTACTCTAGGTTGAGTTAGTTTAGTTGATCTTATGACATGTCAATTATTCTTAGTTTTTTTTTAATGTTGTATTTCATATTGGTTAGAAAGTGAGGATAAGACTCACTATAGATTAGTAATCTTACTGTTGTCAAAAGAGTGTCCATTCTTGTTACTATAATTTTTGATGGTTCTTTCCTCAAAAACCCCTTTTCTTTAATCTTTTTTATCTTACTTTCACTGGATCAACAATCAACCAAAAAATCATTATTACATATGTGACATCGTAATACCTCTCTAATATATCTTTCCTCTAGTGGAGGTTGAAATCAATTAAACATACATATGTTGCAAGTAAACTGTAAATGACATCATCAACAAGTACTAAACATGATTTAAATATTTTAAATACCAAATGTCACAATGGGAAAAAAAACAAATCTCTTTTCTTTTAAAAAAAAAATATATTCCATTCTTGAAAATTTCACTCTCCATTGAAAGCCAAACCTATAGTAATTTTCCAAGCTTAATTTAGATGAGGCATATGGTCAAAAGTACAGGGCATTCAGTGGGGTTCAAACTCACTACTCAGTGGTATGATAAGCTTGATAACTATTACATCACGTCAAGATCCCCAAGCGATCAAACTTGTATATTTTGTAAGCAAGCTACAAATGATATTAATGACATGGACAAAAACATTATTTAAATTTACAGCATTCTAAGCAACAAACACTGTGAAAAAGATCTTCTTCGTCAAATGAATCTTCTTCGTCAAATGAATCTAACCCCTCTCATTTGGTTCTCTGCGTCTCACCTGAGTCCATCCTTCAAATCTACAAATTTACCATTGCCTTTGCATTAAATACTGTTGCCATATATGGTCTGGTGACGCCGCTTGAGGTCTGAGACAAAATCAAGAGATTGTGATGGGTCCTGATCTCATCTAGACTCTTTTTCTCTCTGTAATGTGGCCCCTCTGTCTTTTTCAACAAATATTTTCATAGCACTCTCTGACAAGCTACTTTCACTGGTACTTCTCTGCTTTAAGCGTGCTACTAGGTTGGCATCTCAGTCCCTCCTCTTTTTTACTGTCAAGACAGTTTCAACCACCTCTTCTACCCCAACCCTTCTCTCTTCCTGCCAGTAGTACTCCTTTCCTCCTGCTTGCTTCCCTGATAGCTATAATCTTCAAAAATTCAAATGTAATGTCAATCCATCTTCTCTTCCTCTCTGTCCTTCTCTTTATCCTTTCCTCAAACACCCCTCTTTAATCTTTACTCTTACTTTCACTCTCTGTAACCCCTCTCTCTTTACTCTTGCTCTCACTCTCTGTAACCCCTCTCTCTTTACTCTTGTTTTCCCCTCTCCCCTCTCTTTTACTCTTAACTTTCCTCTCTGTAACCCCTCTCTCTTTACTCCTCTCCGTAACTTTTTACTCTCTGTAACCCCTCTCTTTTTCTCTTACCTTCTCTGTAACCCCTCTCTTTACTCTTGCTCTCACTCTCTGTAACCCCTCTCTCTTTACTCTTGTTCCCACTCTCTGTAACCCCTCTCTCTTTACTCTTACTTTCACTCTCCGTAACCCCTCTCTCTTTACTCTTACTTTCACTCTCTGTAACCCCTCTCTTTTTACTCTTACCTTCACTCTCTGTAACCCCTCTCTCTTTACTCTTGCTCTCTCTGTAACCCCTCTCTCTTTACTCTTGCTCTCCTCTCTGTAACCCCTCTCTCTTTACTCTTGCTCTCTCTCTGTAACCCCTCTCTCTTTACTCTTACTCTCACTCTCTGTAACCCCTCTCTCTTTACTCTTGCTCTCACTCTCTGTAACCCCTCTCTCTTTACTCTTACTTTCACTCTCTGTAACCCCTCTCTCTTTACTCTTGCTCTCACTCTCTGTAACCCCTCTCTCTTTACTCTTGCTCTCACTCTCTGTAACCCCTCTCTCTTTACTCTTGCTCTCACTCTCTCTGTAACCCCTTGTGTGCTAGAGGCACTCCCACCCTGCTTGGGGGAAAATGCTTTAAAGAAATAAATAAATCATTTTTTCTTCAGGAAAATGGCCAATAAAAGATGAAAATACTTGAATTATTGTTTGAAAAGAAAAACAAAATGAGAAAAAGGCTAAAACCTTGTTGCGCTTTTCAATAAAACCTCCTAAGATGAAAAATTGCTATCAAAACTTTCTTATATGTTTATACATGCATGAAATACTACACAAAATTTTTTGAAAATTAGCAAAACAAGGCTTCCTTAAAATAAGAAAAACATTCAACTAATTACCTAAATGTCTTTACTTTGATTGAAAATGTTTTTTGTTTTCTGTGACAAGATATTGAAAATACTTGATAACTAAACAGAAGAATAGATTGATCTTCTTCTATGTGCTATACCACTTCAGGACATTGGCAACTATGACTCTCCACAATTCCCTGTCCTTTGTAGCTGTTAGTAAAGTTTATCTTCTTGTTATCTCCCCTAAACCCTGTTCTGCCATCCATTTACAGAAACTCGCTAGGTTATGCACTGTTTTCCACTGTCCCTGTTACTTTAAATATGTCCTGTAAGTGTCGAATTTTCTAAGCCCTCTTTCCTCGTTATCTATAGAAATTTCAGCTATCTCTTTCTGATGCTAAATATAAGTGTCATTTTAGTTTCTATTTCCTTTAAAACTTTATCATTGCTCACATGTTCGGTCCAAGGTATTTGTAGCATTCTTCTGTAGAACCATATTTCTGGATTCAATTCTCTTTTTCATCTGCAAAGAGATTGTCCAGCATTCATTGCTATATAGAAAGAATGATATTATATAAAAGTTCAGTACTCTTTTCTTAGTTTCTAACTATTTTTCTCTGTTTTTTAATACTTTGATTAGCTTCTGGAAGACATCTTTTGCTATCCCAGTGTACTTTCAGCTTGGTTAAATTCCTAGAGCCTTTGGAAAGCACCTTACATATATATATATATATATATATATATATATATATGTGTGTGTGTGTGTGTGTGTGTATATTAAGACATGTCTCATTAATAATTTGCACAAGTTTTGTCTACTTAATTTTAATAGAATCATCTCATAATTATGAACAACTTTTGTAGTATCATTATTAAAGGAAGAAAAAAATTACTATGTTGATCCATATTCATTTTCATTTGATGTACTTTCGACATTAGAAGAATGTCATCATCAGGATGATGTTTTTTCTCAGATGAATACAAGAATTTTTCTTAAAAAAATGATGAACACAACAATTTTTTGTTTTGATACAAACAACACCCTGATGCCAAAATACATATATATATATATATATATATATATATATAT